AAGTGTCCCCTCCTGAAGAAAGCCCAGTCTACTCTGATTGGTTTGCGAGAAAAATATGGCGCACCTTTGCAAAGGTAGTTCTCAAGCCATGGGTGTAGAAACTCAGATGTGTGTGTGTGTGTGTGTGTGTGTGTGTGTGCGTGTATCTGAATGGCTTGTTGAATGTTTTCTGATCCAGGCAGCCAAAATATAACTGACTGGTTGTCTTATTTCACAGTTTGTGGGTTGGTAGATACCCAAATGTACTGTAAAATATGTGCTTGTCCACATATATGTGGACAAGCACTGCAAGAGAGTTTTTCATAATATGTCCCATGTAATGTAAATCCAGTATTTAATTGTTTGTCTAACATTAAATTCCAGTTGTGTCCGTATGACTTAAAAAAAAAAGAAGTATGTCCTTAAAGTCGATTACAGTAAATACATATAAACGTAGAAGAAAGGAGCCCCAGATGAGCTCCTTAAATCGCAATTGATTTCCTTGAAATATTGTTGATGTGCTTTTTATTATAGCTGCTATGCTGTCGGAGTGGGAAATGAAAAACAATAAATTTTTTTCTGCGTTTATTCAACTTCATTCAGTTTATAATATTATCAAGAGTGAGAACATCTGGAAAGCCTCGCATAAGAGAAGTTGGAACCTTTAATTTTGACTTCATTAATTACATTAAATGATTAATTGAATATCACATTTTCTATACATTTTCTGTGGATTGACAAACTTCAAATTGTTAGTGTTGATAATGTTTTACAATTGAACATCAGTCAAAGATAAAACACTGAAGTAGGGAGCCCTTTGTGGCAAAGATGAAGTAAAAACTACAATGAGGACATTTTAATTAATACTGATGCCTCTTTATGACCACATAAGTAAATGAGACCATCAGCGAGAAGATTGGCTATTTCTATTTAATCATTCTAGATATTCTTAATGCTTCAACTCTGCCAACGTGTCGGATTCCGTCAAAAACTCAAAGACAGAATCTCCTTCAGCTCAGACTCCAGCGGGCCTTCGGACAGACCCAGATCCAGCTCCGGTGGGAGGAGTAGAGCTCAGCTCCTGGCAGCAGCGTCTCCTCCTCCGGCCATGGTCAGAACGTCCCTGCCCCTGCTAGGAGCCGACACCACGCTGCTGGAGGCCCAGTCTGTGTTACTGGGCCCGCTGGATTGAAGGGAGGCACGGGAGAACCAGAACCAGGACTGATTGTCAGACCCTGCTGCGGTAAAGACAGCCAAAATCAACACAAAATGTCTTTTCTCAGTATGTATGATTGGGACATTAGCAAAACCCTCTGCAACCAAACCAACGCCCCTAAATATATCCTCATTAAACGCTGCCAAAATCAGTGATGAAAGATGTACAAAGATCCTTTACTTACAACAGTATTTGAGTAAATGTACCTAGTTACATTCCACTACTGGCCCAGTCACGCTTTCACAAAAATAGATGAAGAAAAAGGCAGGACAGGACAGTTAATGAATGATCTTATTCAAGATGTACAGTCAATTTACCAAAGAAGAAACACTGATGTGCATCTTAGAAGAGAGCGCAATCCAGTAAAATCAAATATAGAACATAATCTGAATACAAAATCATGTTAAAGCTGGATCACAGTCTCGTCCCATAAGCCGGTAAAAGGAGAGATGAGAGACTTTACTTACAGTCACTTGAACGATCCCATAAGCTTCCAGATCGGTGATTGATGATTGAGGTGGAGGAGCTAAAGCGATGGACTGAGAGCAGAAACAGATCAAAGTTTACCTCTCTTTCCCTGTCTCTGCTGCTCTGTGACCTTTTCAGATTTATTTTACCCTAATCGACCATGAAGCCATCAACAGCAGCCGATCCTCCAGAGTTATCACAGTACAGGTAAATGAAAACAATACTGGTGTGCAGAGAGAGAGACCGATAGTGTTTCCACAAATGTAGAGCTGTGTATTGCTACTATTTTAAGTCACGCCCATGGATTTATTCTGCTGTTGTACAGCCAGAGATTATAAATGAGAGATCATCCCTAAAGGGTTGTTTTTTGAGACGTTCATTAGTTTCCCATTCCTCGGCCATTTCAAATCCAGGATTTATACGGCTCCCACCTCCTGCAAGCGGTCAAGTTTTGGCACCAGAACAACAGTAACACATAAAACTGCACGAGCAAAATGTTTTATAGGTGTACAGGATGTTAAATGAAAAGGAATAACAATCCAGCAAAATCAATAAGACACGCTCTGAAAGTAATGACATAAACACTTTTAAAGCCAGATCACAGTCTCATCCAAAGCCAGTAACCAGAGTAGGCCTCCAGATGAAAGGCACAAATGAGAACACGATGGGCTGAGACTGGAAATATGTCAAGTCAAGTAAACATTATCTATACAGCCCAAAAATCCATTCCACTGGGATCAAACCAGAGCAAAATATGATCGCAAACACATTACTGAACTTTGGCCTGGATTTACGTTTCACAGTTGAGCTCATATATAGCAAAACCTGTAACCCTGAATCTGAGAGTATGATACTTTTATTCTTGAAAACAGTAATTATCTAAATGTAGTCTTAATACATACCGTTTTATAAGATTCAAAGCAGTCTTATACAAATGTCTTATTTCTGGGGCACATTTAGTAGAGACCAAAACTGTTCTGCCATGACTTGAGCACTCAGTTACATTTTATCAATGTAAAAGTAGCAGTATGTTTAAATTACTTTTATCTTGCAGCTGGTAAAGGTGGAGCTAGCCTCCAGCTAGGTTCTAGCTGCTCTATATGCTGCTGGGTGGCTTATAGTATTCTTGATCATATTTTGTATTAGGACTCTGAATCTGCAAAGAAACTTAAATCATCAAATGAATATCCATCAATCCATTTTCGTCCGCTCATCCAGGGTCGGGTCGCGGTGGCAGCGGGCTAAGCAGGCTGACCCAGACCTCCCTCTCCCCCGCAACATGTTCCAGCTCATACTGGGGGATCCCGAGGCGTTCCCAGGCCAGCTGGGAGATATAATCCCTCCAGCGTCAAAATCAAATGAATATAGTTGAGTAAAAATTGAAATATTTGCCTTTGAGATATGTAGTAGAAGGATAACTAGCAGAAAATGGAAATACTCAAGCATATTACATTTACATCAAAGTTTTACTTTAGGGCTCCAGCCCTGAATGTTATTTCCTCAAAAGTCCTGAATGTTTCAACACTTTAAAACCATTTCCACCCTAACATTGTCATGTGGGGTGTCTCTATGCCACTACTACCTATTCTTTAAAGAAATATAATATATTTAAGTAAATGTTCTTCTGTTGGCCTAATATTCAATTCAGAGTATTGAAGACCACATTTACTCTGAATTTGTGGGGATCCTTGATCTGCAATTAGAGCAGACCAGATTGTTATGGCATGGTTTCAAATACAGCAGATGTGAACTCCGCTCCAGCATAGCATAACAACAGATTTCAAAATCTGTTCACGCCAAATCCCAAACCCTGTTATGTATGTAATTTAACATAAAAATAGTCACATTCGGCATTTGTTGCCTCCTTTTAGGTAACATGTTCAAAAAAGGTCAACCTCAACATCATGGCATATTTTTCCCAAATGTTTTACAGATTTTTAGGCATTCTATTATCAAAAGGTTTCAAAATAAATAGTGCATATAGCTGCCTTAAATGGGAAAATAAATGTCCCCCAAACCCCTTTAGGTTTGCACTGATTCCTAAATGTTTCCAACCTCCGCCCATGCTTTCCACCACTACTTGTACATAAATGTATCTGTCATCATTAAGCTATAAAGCATCACAGGCTCAGAGGATTAGTGTGCATATGCTAATTTTCACCTCTTCCTGTCTGCCAGTATATTAGGAGGATGGTCGAGAATTAAAAAGGCATAAAGAGCCTCTGCATTGGCTGAGAATATATAAATAGTTTGTGTCCGCCAGTGTGTAAACTGTATCTTGTTGTGTAGATTGCAACATGAACCACAAGATGGCGCTGTTTGCTACATGATGTCCCCATGTGTGTCTCCACAACATCTGTAAACACCCGCTCGAATTTATAAGACAATGTCAGCTATTTTAAATCATGAGCAAATTAATTTCATCCTTTTAGTGGCTTCTGAAAAAATAACAGCAGCACAACTGAAGGGCAGGAGAGATGGAAAGATAAGTGGTCAAAGTTGATTCATTGGGCCACATATTTGAATCATTAAGAGATTTAATGAGCTGGGACTTAATTAAAAGTGGTTTAGGTTCGCAAAAGAGCCAGTTCACTAAACCCCGACAAGCCAGATTTATAACCAAACCATCATCACCTTAAGGGGAGCCGACAAAGTGTTATCAAGTTCTGCAAATGAGACACATTACATGTTCAACCTTCCAACAAAGTGTGGCCTAAGTCCGTCTTGTAAACTGTGAAGAAAAAAATGGATCAAAAATCGTTTTAATTCTAAGCAACATAACTTGGCTGATAGAATAAATGTTCATGCCTTGACAGTGAATTTGCATCCATTCAGCACCAAGCAGCACTTCATGACAATAAAACCTCAACTTTGCTAACTGGTGGGAAGAAAATTTTAAAAGTTTCTCCTCTTATTTGGGCAAATACAAGCTGCACAAGTGATGCATCCTAAAATCCCTAATCTTGTTAAACCATGCAGATAATGCTTATACGAATCCTAAATTTGAGGATTTCTGAATGGGGTTTGGTTAATACATTGCAAACAGGGATGCCTTAGTCAGTTCGAAGATCCTGGATGCTCCTCTGGGACTTCTCAGCGTCCAAAACAACCCCGTATGACTTAACTCATCAATCATCAAACTGATACAAACAGAGCTTTTGACAGAGACTGAGAGATGCTGAATCATGGCGAGCTCCCGCGTGCCTCATCATCGGAGCCAACTGACGCCCCATGCATGCTCCGATACCCCCCCTCCAGCCTGCCAGCTTGCTGCTGTCTGGCTTATCAACGCTGCTGCTGCTGATGTTGCCTGGCTGCTGCTCGGTGGCGCAGCCCAGATCCCACTGAGGATGTGAGGATGGAAACCTGAGGAAGGGGGTCTGATGGAGGCGAGTAGCCAGACTGGAATAACTCAGAAGAAGCCCAGCGTGCACTTGTGGTGTTCATTTGATCCATTACTTTAGCCTTATTGAGAAAACCCGCTGCATGCCATTCAGACCGTGAACTCGTTTCAAATATTGAAGCGCGTCTCTTCCTCGGATCCCGTGTTTAACTTATCTGGGATGATGATTTCTGCATATTTGTCACCGAGCGCACGAGTGGGAGTGTGGATTTAAATTTCGAAGTTTGGATCTTCTCTCACCGGGATTTTTTATTTTTATTTTTTTTAAGGGGGATGGCAGTCGTTGATCGGGGATGCACGCGCCTGGTTTGACACACTCTGGATGGATGCTGTAGACGTTATCACTGCTGTTCCTGCAGACGATCGCGCGTCTACTCTCACAACGTGGATACCTGCCGCCGTTCTGACAGATAGATGCGTGCTCACCCGGTCGGGGTCTCGCCCGCGTGAAAAAAATCACTCCGTGGTCTTGTCTCGAGGAAAGTTTGGGACTGAGACGCGGCGGAGGATGTAACCAGCGCACCTTTTCGGGCTTCCCCACGGACACAGAGGTCAGTGACTGCCCCTCTCCCTTTACACGTGCTTTGCATAGGCTCTAAGATTTATGATTTGTGGATGGATTTGTGATCTGGTGTTTTGGGGGTGTAGCTGGAGAATGTGGATCCGAACTGTGGAGTTCTGCTCAGGCTGGAGGGGAGAGCGGCGAATGTACCAATCCCTTCCCGGGACCACAGGTGTTCCCTGTAAACAGGTAGGTCACAGTGAGTGGAGTTTGGTGATTGCTCTCCAATTATGCATTCCATGCCACAGATAAAGAAAGAAAGAAAGATATCGTTACAATTTGGAAAATCCCACAGCGTTTGCCAATGCAATGGTTTACTTAACGACACAAACAGCCCACGTGTTGTTTTCGCATGTATCCCGAACGACGCTCCAAACTCCATTCAGAAAGCCGGTATACTTTAGCGCTGCATTTGCTTATCGAACATAATCTAATCTTTTTTTAATAAATCTCCGACTCTTTAATTGCCTCATATTATAGTTATGATACGGATGAAAACGTTGGGATACATTCACAATCTTATTCGCACAAGTTGACCGTGCACTGTGAAATGTTTATAACAGCTTCACAAAAAAACAAGTGCGACCAAATGAGTTCGGTCATATTGAATGAGATGAATATATTTGCTTAAAGGCAAACACATGTTATAATAGCAAAATTGCCAATGGCACGTGTCGTCAAAATGTTGTTTTATAGAAAAGTTTCGTTTCTTGTTTACCCAATAAATCAGTACAAATATGCCTCACTACCAGTAATCATTCACAACATATTTGAATTTGATATGAATAATAACACATTATGGGGTCAGCAAACCGCTTAAAGTGACATGCATCAATTTAGAATTTTATATTTCATGCAACCATTTTTGTGTTTTCCATTCTTTTTATTTTTTTTCTTCTATTGAATGTGAAACCAGAAGTTTATCATAAACAAATGCATGTGGGGTAGTTCAATGCTTTTATCTAACAACAACAAAATGTCAATAAAGTCCATATATTGACCACAGCTGATCAAATCTGACAGACATAATGGTATTAGAGACACTTTATTATTCTAGTCATACAGAGCCTTTGCACTGTTTTCTAATAGTAGCTTTCACTTTATAAATGTGCCAATAATAAAGTTTTACTTTGTTTTAAAAATATTTGTACGAGACTTTCTTGGTAACTTCATTGATGTGTATATATTTTTTTCTTTCAGTGACTCCAAATCCCAAAATGCCGAGCTGTGGATAGAGGCTGCCCTGTGGGTCGAGCTGACCTGTATCTACCTCCCTTCACCTTCTCTCCTCATCATTTCCTAGTTCCTCATCCTTCTCTTCTTCAATCCTTCATCCTCCCCTTAGTCTTTCTCCTTTTCTCTACCTATCTCTATCCTACAATCTCCTCCTCTTCCTCCCCCCCCCCTCCCCCCCCCACAGCACACATGCAGGCCAAGAAGCGGTACCTGCTCGTGTCTGTGGGGGCCGGTCTTCTCTTCCTCGTCTACCTGTGGGGTCTGCAAATCGGGGAGTTCCAGCAGCAGCCATACCAATATCAGCAGTTTCCCCAGTATCCCCAATACCACCAGTACCACCAGCAGGAATACCAGTACCACCACCAGAGCCAGCCCCAGCCCCAGAGAAGCCCGTCCAGATCGCCCAGACACTGGCCAGAGTCAACCCAGCTGCTAGAGCCGTACCTGGAGGGGGGAGAGCAAGAGGTAGACTGAACCGCTTTTAAAGGAAAAAGTATTCAGATCCCACAATATAAGAACACTCAATTACACGCAAAAGCCCTTTGTTCAAATTCACTAAGGTACCATTTTACGTATCAGAGGTAAAAGTACTCACTATGCAGCAGTAGGTTGCTTTCTCAGTGGACACATTTCAGTAACTCATAGTGAATACATTCTTAAAAATGCATGGCTTTAAAATTGGTTGGAAGATGAATGATGAGTTTGGTTTTAAAGCTTTAGGTCCACCGGGATCACAAGATGATTAATCGTGTGATCAAACAGATTGAGAAAGAAGAAAAAGTCTTTGCTTCTTTAATTGTGAAATACTTGATAGAGTAACCTCCTCAGGCCTAAAAAAATGATTCAAATGATACAATCTGAGAAGAGAACGTCACTATTTGGCTGAACTGCTCAGTTCTCAACAGGCGTCAAAACGAAAGAAGGCAAATGGCACTGTACGATCCAGGAAGGCGGGTCGGAGGAAATAAATCCTGTGTATCTATATTTTCTCACGCAGAGCTTTTGCCTGTCTGAACACAGACGGAGACATATGGCCTTTGCTTGTGCCTTAAAGGATCACAAGCCAGGAGGTTTGAGAACAACTGCTTTAGGGGAATCAAAGACCGTCACCCTTCATCTTCTTGTGTGGACTGGATATCAGAGTCGCTGTAGCTCAGTCATGGAACAAAGCAGTGAAACCCAAAGTTAGATTGCTTTCCTCTACTGACATTATAAAGTAATGTCTTAAAAAACTTCACAGATCTAAAGTATCGATATAATTGTGCTTTGTTTTGGGTTGTCTGAACTGTGTGTGTTCTTGTGTACAGGAGGACAGCCCTCAGCTCCATCACCAGCACACCTCGCCCCGTGAGCGACGTGCGATACGCGACAACATCTACAAGAACAAGCGCTGCCGCATGGAGACCTGCTTCGACTTCGCTCGCTGCCAGTCCGGCTTCAGGGTTTACATCTACCCACCGCAGAGAGGGGACGAGATCTCCGAGACCTACCAGAAGATCCTGACGTCCATCGAGGAATCTCGCTTCCACACCAAGGACCCGACGCGGGCCTGTCTGTTCGTTCTGGCCGTGGACACGTTGGACAGGGACCAGCTCTCGGCTCAGTACGTCCAGAATGTCAGGCTCCGCATCCAGAGCCTGCCGACGTGGAACGATGGAAGGAACCACCTCATATTCAACCTCTACTCGGGCACCTGGCCGGACTACACCGAGGATCTGGGCTTTGAGGTGGGTCAGGCCATGCTGGCCAAGGCCAGCGCGGATGTGGTCAACTTCCGACCCAACTTTGATATCTCCATCCCCCTCTTCTCCAAGGATCACCCGCTGAAAGGAGGGGGCATAGGTTATCTGACGCTCAACGATGCACCGCCCTCCAGGAAGTACCTGCTGGTTTTCAAAGGGAAGCGATACCTAACTGGCATCGGTTCGGAGACGAGGAATGCTCTGTATCACATCCACAACGGGGAAGATATTATTCTGCTGACCACATGCAAACATGGCAAGGACTGGGAGAAACACAAGGACTCTCGGTGCGACCGAGATAATGAAGAATACTCCAAGTAAGTCATACGTTTTTTTTATCTCTTTACCTTGCTCTGTTGCTTCTGGGCGTGCTTTTATTTCCATTTGAAAAGAGCGTCAGTGCTTTGAGGATCTATCCGTTATTAGTGTCTCAATACCGCCCTGCAGAGTTGGTTGTTGCTGGTTTGTCGTCCTGCAAGGAGAGCAGACAGCCGGCTTTTTAGCAGACATTAGCACTGTGGCCGTTGTCTCATTATTGGCTCTTATTTGCTGTTGGTCATTGAAAAAAAGCAGTGGGATTGTGACACACCATTACAGCTCCTCACAAGAGCTGGTTGTGCTTGTGTGCAGGGCACTAATGCTGTCAATCATTACAAATGTGGTTTATTAGCTGGGAACTTGCCTGCTCGAAAGTGTCGGGGACGAGCCGCTGTGCACGAAATGTCTCTCTATTTGAATGAAACTGTTTGGATACTTTCAGGCACATATTTCACCATTGTCTTGGGAGTTGAGCTTTATCGTACCTGTGCTCCCGAGACAGAAAATGCAGGTGTGTGTATGTGCGGTTGTGTGGGTAGTGTGTGTGTGTATGTGTGTGAAATAGAGAAAGTGTAGCAGGAGAAGCGATGACGGTTGAGTGAAAGAAAGTGATCTGAGCCGAGAAGAGGAGTTCACCTTTTGAAAATTTTAGCGAGAGTTGAAAGCCGAAAGGAGGGATACCATGCAGAGTGAAATGGGAACAGCATTCTCAACTTTTGCTACTTATTCCTGGATACGTTAGCCCAGGAGTCATCTGTTGCATATTTTAGCTTTAGATATTGTGGAGAACCACTGTGTAGCCAGGATCCTGCTAAATACTGCCGAACAGCGACTGGAATGTCGCAGGGAGAAAGAATCTGCATACAGTTTGGGCTGCAAAATATTAGGACATTCTTGCGCGTTGTACGAAGTGAAACAATGATTGTGAGGTTTATCTGTAAAATGCTCAAAGCCCATTTTAGGCCAATGCACTGAGACAAATATCCCAAACATACAGACCAGAGAACAAGGTTTTTATTTAGGGCAAATGTTGACTTGCATCCCAGAAGCCAGAACCAAACTGGACGCTTCTGGTCGTGTGATACGTTGAATACCGACGTTTCTGAACGCAAATTACATTTCATGTCAACATTTCTAGATATGTGGAGCGTTAATGTTACAAAACTGTATTTTCACTTATGTTTACGCAACAAAACTACGTGGTTAGGTTTAGTAAAAGATCACGTTGTGGGTTAAAATGAGAACGCTACTGTGAGCTTCATCCGGGACACTAACACCAGTCACCTGGGTGAAAGATCTATGTTTGACCGAATAAGAAAACTCAGCAGGTAACTAGTCAGAAAGGCACACGAGGCACACGAGATCCTACTTGACACGCAAGTAGGATCAACAACTAACAACCATAACAATCCCACACATTTCGATCAAATGAAGCCTTCATTTTTGACAGAATGTTTACATTTTTGAACCATCTTTGTGACACGCTGCTCTGATTGATCGCAGCGAAGTCGGCGTTCAATGTGTTTGATCGTTCATCGGCACCTGCTGACGAGAATCAGACCTATCCACACACGTCTCGTCTTTCCGTCAATCTAACACCTCGACTCTTTTTCCCTTTAGGTTGATATTATATTCACTATCATTTTATATTTCATTAGTGTGGTAATTCCTTCTGACGTTAGTTGCGCTCATCTCTGATATAACACCCTGCAGTCACTGGCTGCAAATATCAGTATCAGGACTTTATTAAAGTTTTAATTTCGTGAAAAAACATTTTAAAATATGAGGCTATGTATAGGAAGGGCCGCATTGCCTCTGCTGTTCATGCGATGTGAATGTAAAAATGCCTTCAAATGAATCACTGGCGCATCTCTTTATTCCTACTCGCTCCACGGGCTGCAGCCGAGACTTTATCAGTGGCAGCTCACATGCTGAGAGCACACGTCTCCGCAACGCAGACCAAATTCTGCAATATGTAACCCTTTGAGAAAGAAATATAACAACAAATGGGGAATTCAGTATGTGATCCTGTGTGTTCTCCCAACAACGTCTTGCTTTAAATTTCTCCTCAATCAGCGCACGTTAGGACATTCTGTTCTCTATTTCGGCGTGTCGTGTTTAGAAGGTTGTTGCTATTAATGTGAGCGTGACATTAAAGCAGCAGCAACAATAACAGCACTGGAGGACAGCTTTTTTTCAACATCAAACCATCTGTATATCAACAGGCTGTTGGGATGTGCATACAACTGTACTCTGTGTTTGTATTAATGAATGTGGCTGGTAACACTGGTGGGTTTATCAGGGCACAGTAGCAGTTTTTACAATGAAGAAACGGCAAATGGCTTTGGTTTCAGCATGGGCGACGTTATTCATGTAAAAAGTGCTTGAAAAAAGAAGATCCAACAGTGAACACTGCCGCCTTAAACACAAAGGGTGATGATCAATGGAGGACGTTAATGAACAGAAAGTGCTCAAGAGGCTCCTTCACTAAATGAATGCTGCATCAGTCCATTCTCTGTCTCAGCCTGGCATTCGTCTGATATCCAATAGCAAAAACAATAAAGCAGCAGTGGCTTTGAGTTTAGCTCTTTCATTTCTATCTTCTCTCTTTTTTTCACTGAAATCAAGGAACTTTGAAGGTTGCGATCTTAATCACTTTTTATAAAAACGACTTCTGGAGCTGCTGAACTATGAGAAAAAGCATTAATTCATTTGGTGTCAGTCATAAAGTTGTATTTTGTTCAGTTTGTGAACTAACTAAGCCATCGGAAGCAACACAGAGACAAACCAGACGGAACTTCCAGCGCTGCCTCAAAAGTGTTATGTTTGAATTTAGGAAATGGTTCGATGATTGATGCTGAATTGTCTCCCAATAACGGAAAGCCACATGTTTGATTGTTGGGTTTAGTTTAAGGTTATCTAAAACTTTCCAGACCTAGTGCTCCGCACAAAATTACTTCTTTGCACCGAGATATGCAGAGAAGCACAGATTTAAATACAATACAGTCAGTACAACAATTAACATTGTTCATGTGATTCAAATAAAGTTGCACACCAATGAAACCCTCCAATTCCCATTAGAACACAGATTCATGGGAGTGATTGTGCCAAAATAGATGTGAAAAAAAGAAAAAATACAAAAGCCAAATTTTGGTGAAGAGTTAGTGGTTAGGTCACACAACAAACTCCAAGTTTAAACTCCTAGATTGAACTTTGTGTGTTAAGATTACAGTGTCTAAAAACCATTAGGAGCCCTATAGGCAGAGGAACCACTTTTTTTTTTATTTAGCAATGCTGTCAGGATATAGCCACAAATGAGCAAATATGACAAAAAAAAGGCTTTTATTGAAGTTAAGTTAAGTTTTAAGTTTAAGTTTAAGTTTAAGTTAAGTTAAGTTTTAAGTTAACAATTTGTGCGATGTTGGATTCACCTATTGTACGAAAAACCGAAATGAAAAGCAGGCTACTTGTAACTGAATGGTCAACAACAGCAGAATTCACAATTGGACAAAGCTCGCTAATGACGACGATCTGGAATTTAAATTAGGCGCCTTTTTGAAGAATGCTCTACTTCAGTTATTTCTGCTGCACTTCATTCTTGCCGGGTGCGATTGTTCTGTAACGAGCGTATTGTTGTTTTCCCTCTGTACTCCATACCACGCACTCACGGCCTTTTAAAAGAAATCACTGGTCGTTGTGTGGGAAACAATCCGCTATCAACCTGAAGGAATGCGTCATTTTGACGGTCCCCGAGAGTCACGCGCTAATAAATCCGTCTAACCTCATCTGTCTGTGAACAAGGCAGCTTCACAATACTTTAATCTTGAGGTTGTGACTGAGAAAGCTCTCTTGTCTGTTTGCTGCCGGCTGCTCTGGTGTTTTACACACACAGCACATCGATACAGACATCACCCGGTTCAGTCGGGGCTTCGGGGGGAGGGGGGATGGTGGGGTCCAACACAGCCAGCCTCCCTGATGGGAACAGAAACCGACGAGGATCTTCAAGCCTCAGGCGGTCGATAATTGCCCTCCAATTGAATTAAGCTGTGAATGAAGGGGATAGATAGAGATCTCACCTCCCACTGAGCGGCGCCGGATTGAACTCGGGCTGTTTTACTGTACATAGATAACAGCCCAGCCCGGCTCCACCAATTAGAGCCTGGCTGTACAGAAGTGTCTCTCCAAAGAGTGTTGGATACCAGGAGGATGAGGGGCTGATGAAACGCTTGATTCAGATCGCTGTCACGTCTTTCATGATGGCTTTCATGGTCAAATGTGATGAGAGGTGTCCTGCTGACTGTATACAGTAAATCCATAAACATCTCCTTCTTCTTCTCCTCTCTGCTCATCGACCTCCTCTTTTCTTTTTATCTCAATGGGACCTTGCAGCTGTTTTAGCTTCTTCTTTTCTCTTCTACACTTCAGCTTTATACTTTGCAGGCCCCGTGGCAGTAACAGATGGCATTTTAATGCCACAGGATGCACCTTTTCTGCAAAAAAAACTATTCAATAATGCTATGTTTGCAATAAAGTTCTGAATGCAGTCTCAACATTTCACAAAGGTAGAATGTGAATAGGGTATAATTTTATCGATTGAAGCAAGTAAAGTTGGTTTCCAGATCTTTTCATGTCATAAAAACAGAGCATGAGAGGGATGGCTGTGTAGGAACTGTTATTGTTCATTCAGCTAAGACCTTGATCACAGTACTGACTATTGAGAATGCTAAAGAAAATTGTTAGGGCAAGCAGGCTTCATATTGTTTTTATTAATGACCACCTTAGGCTGATGAACACCACAAAAGCTAAAAAAATAACAACACATTTGACATTTTATCAGCAAATAATGTTAAGGCAAGTATGTTAGCCAGTGATGGAATGCAACTATATACTAAAGTGCAATTCATAAGTACACATTTCAGTATTTCCACTTCCTGCTACTTTATACTTCTACTACAGAGACAAATCTTGTACTCTTTCTGCACTACATTTCAATCAGGAG